TCATTAATTTCCTTTCCTGAGAACGGAATGGTATTGGGATAATTAATACAGTAATGTACATTTCAAAGTCTACTACTCACCATTCCCCCAAGCCCAAAGAACCAAAAGCTGGCAGTACCCACTAACTGGAAACTTTTAATTTATGTTTGGAAATATCTTCATTTAGAGGCTAAAAAACATAAAAACAAGCTGTGATACTTTAAAGACTACCAAACTTATTTCAGTGTAAATTTTTGTGGATTTCATAGACAATCCACTTTTTTTCAGACATAAAACTTTGCTTGTAGTATCTTGCTTGTGAGTAGAATTAGAGAAGAGTATTGGCCTCCCCCTGGATGAGCCCTGATATTATGGGGAATCTGGCACTGTATATGGAGAGGTACAGGCTGGCTGGACAGCTCAGTCAGGGTGTACCTATCCAGGGAAGATCTTCTGGACTGGTTTAGGTCATTTAAAAGTATCCTGCAGCAGTTAAATCACTGTTATAATTAATTATCCTGGACCATTTTCAGGGCAAGAGTCCACACCATAATTCACATCGCTACAATTGATGCTGCAATCATAGGTCCTTCATCCTCCTTTGTCGTTAACATTGCCCTCTTCCCTGCCTTTAAAAAAAATTACAAGTGACACAGCAGTTAATTCATATGACAACTTATGAAACTGCAGTGCTTATCTGACACAGCAGTAAATTGGAAAGGCATAATAATAATTTTAAGAAATTGTTTGGAGGAGATACAAGAGGGGCATGTTCCAATTGTACTGGCATACCCTTTGGTGGGGCACAGGACACTCGTAAAGCCAGGACCTCTCCCTCAGGCAAGTTACTCTTGTCTTGCCTTTGAACTATTTTTTGTTTAATTGTGCTTTTGCAAGATAGCACTCTTGTTACCTAAGCTCTGCAGTTTCACAAGCTGTCATATCAGTGTAGTGCTATGTCACTTGCCAAAACTTTTTAAAAAGAGATGCTGCACTGTCAGTGTCACCTTGGAAGCAAATTGCCCCTGCCCGTTTGGACTGATATAAAAAAATCTTATATGCCAGAAAATGAAAAAAAGGTTTGCAAGAGCAATTGTTACCAATAAAATAAAATAAAAAAAATACTAGCCCCTACCAGCTGACCAAAAAGCAACAAATGCCTGTGAAAAAAGGCAATACTTGTTTTAGTTGTATTGTCAATGTATTTTCCGTCTACCAACTTTAGCACAAACTATGCAGGGTAAATTGCAGTGTAGTCCACCTTGAGTTAGGTGTCTTGTCATGAAATCAGAGGGCGGGGGGTTCCATAAAGCCCCCGGGGAGATAAGCCAGCCTTTCTCAAACGGGAAGACAGAAAAGAACCATAAAGAATTAGTTGCCTCTGAGTACATACAGAGTCCACAAGCTGCCGAATTGCCACCTACAACCATGATCAGCTAACCACATCCAAGACTGTAAATTCAAGGTAGGACTGAATTCTGGTTTATAACATCTTGGTTAACCCCTCCTTCCCTTTTAAATGAAAATAAATCATATCCTGTATGTGCTGTTTCTAGGAACATTTTGGGTAAAAACATTTAGGGTGGAGCCGTTTTTCACTTCTGAGTGACAAAAAAAAAAAGATGTCGTGGTATTTCCAAGTTGCTGTTTTCTCTGAGTGAAGACAGCAGAACAATACTTACTTCTTCTTTTGGGAATTGAGGAGAGCAGCTGATGCTTTATGCCTCTTTATTTAATTTATTTATTTATTTATTGGATTTCTATCCTGCCCATCTAGACCAAAGGTCTGGATTACAGAGATGAGCACAGTGCTACATTTATGCATCAGCTAAGCAAACTACACTTTAGAACCTCAGATTATGGGGACCTTCTAAATACGTTTATTTCTCTATCATTACATTATTTATTCCTTATATAACTGAATCAAAGGATCTACACTCTTAAACGGACACAGAATTATTGCAATATATATATTGCAATATATATATATACACATACATACATACATACATACATACATACATACATACATACATACATACATACATACATACAAGCTAGGTTGTTAGTGTTCAGTTGCATCCTTTATGTGAGTGTTCCATTTGATTTGTTTATTGATCATGATGTTGATGGTGCACACTTGAGGGAGATTTAAATCTCTCCCCGTAGCTGTTTTTTATTCAAAATTGTACATCCCACCTCAAGAAAAAGAAAAAAAAGGGAAAACCCACTGGTCAGTAGAAATGGAAGTTCCTGCCTCCAAAAGACTTGAGAGAAGGATATATGCAGATATAAAACTTGGTTATTTTTGTTCTAACTAATCTTTTTGTTAGAATAATACAATTTAATCAAGTAAATTCTGACTTTTCAAGGTTTCCCAAGTAGAGAGTACTCAGAATTGGTTCCCCATTCCCTTCTTCTAGGGGTTTCCTAGGACTCGGCAGCTTGCCCAAGGCCACCCAGGCTGGCTCTTCCCCTAGGACACACAAGGAGGAATCAAACTCCCAACCTCTGGCTCCGTAGCCAGATACGATGGAACTGGTTCAATCTGACATAACTTGAGACTCAACATGTCTTAATCACATCTCAGTGTGTTTCACTCTGAGGGTCTACAGTAGCTCTGTCCTGCACATGACTGAGGTCCTACATATGATCATGCAGTGAAGATTTTAAAGAGCAAAAACATTTTTTTTAATTCATTTTCAATTGGGTAAGGAAAGATCATGGGGAAGGGGTCTGGAACAGGCTACTGGGATAAATACAAAAATACAGAATGTGACAGAAAACAATATCATTATTACTTTTGCGTTTATGTTTTCTTACTAAGCTTAGTTCACACTTATCTTGCCATTTTTAAGCCTTTAAATTCTACAATTATATCTTATATCTTCTTTCTTATAATTTTAACCCATTCATGTTCTCATCTGTCATCCAATTGTACAAAGCTTCCCACTCTTTTCTAGCCTCAACAGTTTCTTTGTCTTTTAAAATACTTCAGTTAAAATATCCATCTCTGCTGCTTAGGAAAAAAAATTCTTGTACTGTTGGAGTCTCCTCTTTTTCCCCAGCATTAGGCATATAAAATTCTTGCTGCTGTAGTTACATATATGATTAAATATCTTTTTTCTCTTTCTATCAATCTGGTATTATATTCAACAAAAACCGTTCAGGTTCATATGGAATTATAGAGGATAACATTTTTTTTGTAAAAACCCATGGACTAGTTTCCAAAAGCTTAACTTCCCTACAAGTCCACCACATATGATAAAAACTACCTTCTTTTACTTTCCATTTCCAACATTTGTTAGGGATACTTTGATATGTTTTCGATAATTTTTTAGGTGTCATGTACCATCTATAGAACATCTTATACATATTTTCTTTATAATCCATTGCTTTTGTTAACTTAACATTGTCTTCCCATATTTGTGACCATGACTTTAAGTTAATATTGTGGCCCATATGTTGGGCCCATTTCAACATAAATTCTTTAACTCTTTCATCTTGCATTCTAGCAGATAATTATACAACATTTTCATCAATTTTTCCTTTACATTCAGAAGGATCTCATGTGTAATGGTGAAAAAGCAAAAACAAAATCTTTATGTCAGAATGGGGTGTTCAGTTACCTTGAAAGTGCACAGTTCAGCTTTTGCATGTGGCAATATTTATGCCGTGGACACATATTATTAGGCATCCTTCAGTCTCGAGAGACTATGGTAACATGCTCTGAATGGAGGACTTGGAACAGAGTCTAGTGTGGCTGAGAAGGCCAATTCGAGAGTGACAATCCTTTCCACACTGAAGACAAATACAATCTGTCCATATTATAAACGGAGTTAAAATCCAAACCCGAGTCATTTTTTTAAAAAAAATGAATACATGTTTGGCCAATATAGTTCTTGCTTTTTCTTTGCAGAATAATGGAAGCATTGCATGTGTGAGTGCTCTGGGCCAGCAGACTTCATAGGAAGCTACCTAGAGCAGCTCAAGACTCTTTTCTCCATTTAACCTAATTCCTGCTCTTATGGGCTCCAGGGTCTTGAGCAAATATCGTCTACTTCAATCTCGTAATTGGGGGGAGGGGAACTGAACTGTGATCTTCTCCATGCAAAACAAATGATGAAGCTACTGAACTGTGTGGCCCCTCTATCATGATTGCAATTGGATGATCATCCTTTTCTTTGGGTGAAGAAAGAAGCAAAACATTCTCCCTCTTTCTCTCTCTCTCTGAATCCAACTAGACAGTCAATTGTCAAATGAGGTGTGGAATACCATTTGGGGCAATCCTTGCATCCACATGCACGGATCAAGCAGTTTTGGGGTAGGAAAACCACAGTGCACTTCAAGTGACCTATTTAGTTAGTTCCTCCTTTTAAACGGAAAGTTAAAAAAGATCAGATAAGATCACGGGTGTGTTTTTGTCCTGTCTCCTCCTCCATGGGGGTACGGGAAAACTGCTGTTTTTTAAAAGAGGTTTGGAAGTGGTGTGCTCTGAATTGGTTTGCTACTCCATTGATACAGTAAAGGTAAAGGCAAAGGTTCCCCTTGACATTTAGTCCAGTCGTGTCCAACTCTAGGGCACAGTGCTCATCTCCGTTTCCAAGCCATAGAGCCAGCGTTTTTGATACAGTACTGGATTTTAAAAGAAGGGGGAAAGATCTGCCTCCACAACCTCTTTTGTAGAGGGGAAGAATCCTGCTATTATTTTTATTTTTACTTTTGGAATTAAGTCGCACACTGTTACTCTGGAGGATCTTCTCTGATACTGGCAATCACCCATGCCAAAACCAGACCAAAACAGAGTGATCCTCCCTGCTTTAAGAAAATAGTAATCCTTGCCAAGGACACAGAAGATGTAGGTAGGCTTGGATGAAGGTCAGACTGGTTAGTAGTTATCACAATGTCATGTTGCTGGGAAATGGAGTGAACCAGTCCATTCCCACGATGGTCCAAAACACAGGATAAAGTGCCATCTGATCTCTCTCTCTCTAAGTAACTGATCCCCTTTTGCTTTCCAGACCATGTTTCCCACTGGGTGGGCGATGAAACTGCACCTTTTGCTAATGCTTCTGTCAGTGGGATATGCAGAGGAAACATCCCATACTGGTAAAGTGAAGATACGTGTGTGTCTGTGTCTGTCTGTCTAGGTCCAAAACACAGGATAAAGTGCCATCTGATCTCTCTCTCTCTAAGTAACTGATCCCCTTTTGCTTTCCAGACCATGTTTCCCACTGGGTGGGCGATGAAACTGCACCTTTTGCTAATGCTTCTGTCAGTGGGATATGCAGAGGAAACATCCCATACTGGTAAAGTGAAGATACGTGTGTGTCTGTGTCTGTCTGTCTATCTCTGTTTGTGTGTGTGTGTGTGTGTGTGTGTGTGTGTGTACAGATGAGGAGTGTAGGCTATGTTGTAAACATTTTTGTCTGCTCTCCTCAAACCAGACACCTTCATTCTGGTTCAGGATGATGGGGGTGGTTGTCCCGACACATCTGGACCATCAAGTTAGGGTTGTCTGGTTTGTACTGAAAAGCTCTCTTGATCTGTAGTGCAATCCTGCGTGTATTTAACTGAAAACGCCACTACATTTGTTTTATAACTGGAACAAGAGCCTGCGGTAGCTTTGGATAGTTCATTGATCCAAAATGAAGAACTGGCCCCAGAGGAATAAGAATAGGAGAATAGCGTGGATCAAAGATGGTTTACAAAACTGGAGGAATGGCCCGCATGTTATCCTCCCCAGAGGCCTGGTTTTGAGAGCAGAAAACAGCAGCACAGGGGAAGGAATAAGGAAAACAAGAGAGCATGGAGTCTGGGTTGAGCAAAGCCTGATGAAAATTTCAGTCTGAGGGAACAGCAAAACACTCAGAGGGGAGCGCACGGATTCCTGAGTCTGGAATGAATGAAAGGCATCCTGTCACTTTCTCCAACCTTGCACCTCAAGACATGTTAAACTGTGGCTCCCATCATCCCCAGCCATCAGGGGAATGGCTGTGCTGGCCAGGAATGAAGGGGTTTGTAGTCCAGCATAACTGGAGGTTGCTGGATTTGGGAGGCTATTCAGTGTATGATGGCCACCTCCCCCCACAGCACAAGGTCTCTGCAATCAACCCTAACATATACCTACTCCTTTTATGCAGCTTCATAGGTGAAAGTAAATGGAGAGGAAGTGGGCAGAATTTTTCATTCAAATTCCCCTGATTTTTATTAAATGTGTGTGTATATATAAAATTTCCTCATCTATGAATAAAAAATATATCAGACATTCCTATTTAGGATGATTTATCTCAGAATTCGTGAACAGATTATTCTATGATGTCAGAGTAAGACTGTGCAGCTCCTCTAAAGATATGTGTGTTTAGGAAGTGCTGGTTTATCCAATACACAATTAAACAGCAGAACTCACTGCCACAAGATGTGATGGTTGCCATTCTCGATAGTTTTAGATGGGGACTCGGCAAGTTAAAGTGAGCTAAGGGTATCAATGGCTAGGAGTCATGACACTGGCTATTCCTCCCTCCAGTGTTGGAGCAAGTTGATCTACAAAATCCAGGAGATCAGAGAACAGCAACAAAACCAATCTTTGAGCATTGTCCTCTTCTAATGATAGACTGTCAATAACATCTATGTATACCCTGTGCAACAGGCTCAGAGATCTTCCCAAAGATGTGGCAGACTCCATATGTGCCCATCTTACACACTCAGACTGAAATGTCTGTGAGAATGTTTATGTCATTTAGAAAAAAAAAAATAGATGTTGTAGCTAAATGTATATTCGTATATATGTAAATCATCACAATACAGACTTCATGCAAATCTGTATCCTCTTTTGAAATCAGTGTTGGCGATGCCTAAATGGCCATCTGAGTCTGAGATCAGAAGTAAATGGATTATGATCACCTATACTTTCTTTCCAGATTCATGCTATCCTCAACCCTCTTGCCATGCCTGCATAGTGTCCCACCTCAGCTGTGCCTGGTGCAAGCAACTGGTGAGTCTTCTGTCTCATGGACATCTGTCTTTTTTCTTGTTCTTGTTGTTTAGTCATTAAGTCATGTCTGACTCTTCGTGACCCCATGGACCTGAGCACACCAGGCCCTCCTGCCTTCCACTGCCTCCCAGAGTTTGGTCAAATTCATGTTGGTAGCTTCAATGACACTGCTCAACCATCTCATCCTCTGTTGTCCCCTTCTCCTCTTGCCTTCAAACTTTCCCAACATCAGGGTCTTTTCCAGGGAGTCTTCTCTTCCCATGAGATGGTCAAAGTACTGGAGCCTCAGCTTCAGGATTTGTCCTTCCAGTGAGCACTCAGGATTGATTTCCTTCAAAATGTCCTTCCAGTGAGCACTCAGGGTTGATTGCCTTCAAAATGGATAAGTTTGTTCTCTTTGTAGTCCAGAGGACTCTCAAGAGTCTCCTCCAGCACCACAATTCAAAAACATCCATTCTTTGGCGGTCAGCCTTCTTTATGGTCCAGCTCTCACTT